TTGCATCAGTGTAGATAAATGATTAAACCACACATACAATTTTCATTGAATTTGCACATTGCATCAGTGTGGATACCTCACATATGACTCACATTTTTTATCCATTTCTAGAAACCATCCCCATTGATGAACAATCCAAAATAAAGGATGAAGATGGGGCTGAAGAGGAAGATTATCAAGCTTTGTCTGCTAGAGAGGAAACTGATCTTGAAAAGATGATGTCACAGTGTGAGTTTGCTGTTAGTAATGCTGAGGCTTTCACAGAGCAGCTATCAAAGGATCTCTCTATGCTGGATGGTGTAAGTATACAGACATGTGATTCAACAGTCACATGATCAACACATGACACATTTCTGACATGCATACCAAAAGAAATATTGCTCATATTACTCAATATTGGTGGCATGAATTTAACTAATGTGTTCTTGTTATTCTATTTTACAGTGTATTATAATTTTAATTTGTGAACTGAAGCTGAGTTTCATTTACAACATGACACATTTTGGTGAACCTTTCAACCAATATAACTATCATACTTTCTTTAAAATTTTGTACTGACCACCCACATACCTCCATTTAACTGACAAAAAATAATGCAGTGTTGTATGTATGAGTTATCAAATGATATATTATTTTAATAATTATTCTAAAATTTAATTTTTGACTCTCGTGTGCGAAGTACTCAATGGTCTTTGCAGTTACCCTGTCTGTATGTGTGTATGTGTGTCCGTCTGTTCCGCTGATATCTCAAGAACCATACATTGGTTTTTGATGAAACTTGGTGCATAGATGCTCTGGGCCAATGCGCAAATTTGATTAGGTTTTGGTAGAAATCCATGCATGTTAATTACCTAATTTGCATGATAATTAGCTCATATTTAGCTGTTCCATGACTGTTCCACTGATATCTAAAGAACCACACATTGAATTTTTATGAAACTTTGTACATAGATGCTCTGAACTTATGTGCAGATTTGATTAGTTTTTAGTACAAATCTGTACATATTAATTACCTAATTTGCATGATACTTAGCTAATTGTTAGCTGTAATAGGACTGTTCCACTGATACCACTCATTCATAGATGCTCTGAACTAATGCCAGATTTTGATTAGTTTTGGGTGAAAATCTGTGCATATTAATTACCTAATTTGCATAATGATAAGTAAATTTTCGGCTTTTCCACTGAAATCTCAACTACTAATCATCACATTTCAATGAAACTTGGTACCTAGATATCATGGCACACTGCACAGACCTCGTAGTTTTTAGGGTGATATCAGTACATATTAATTACCTAATTTGCATAATTAATTAATTTCGGATTTTCACGTATACATTGTATCTCAAGTGCTAATCAACACATTTTAATGAAAATTGGTACATAGATCCTCTGGGACTATGCAGAGATCTGATTAGTTTTGGGGTAAATAATTG